AGAAATATGAACAAGATGTTAACATAGCCTCAAATTGGGGATAGATTCCACTGCCCACGCTGCTGCACCGTTGCACGTGCCCGCAGTCTCTTCAAAGAACAACACAGGGCAGACAGCTCGCCTCCCAGGTGTTAATGGGCAAAAGAAGTTCTTAATTTCTACATTACGCTTCTAACGAAGTGCACTAGGTGCTTCAGCAGGTGACTGCAGCAGGCTTTTGCCAATTAGATTTGAAAATGACTCAGTTTGTTTTCATTTTTTTGAAGACTGGAATAGGAACTAGTTTGAGGTATATAACTGAGGAGCCTTTGGCGTCGCCACCTTGTACTGGTCGTCTAATATTTTAAACTACCCATTCGATGGAGGGAAATAAAGTGATCAGATTTTAGAATTAAAAATTTATTGAAAATTGCCTGGGTTGTTAGGTATAGTTTTGATCCGATTCTTATCAACATAACTTATTTTACTGTCATAGCACCAGAGAGCTCTGGTTAGCAACCAGATACCCACAGACAGCTTAGGACAAGAGACAACAGATGGGTAGAGAAAAACCCTAGGAAACAATGGTACGACTGGAGTAAGGAGTAGGTTTGTTGAAAACTTATTTTTGAGGGTTGTTGGGGGCTTTTTTATTCATTTATTGGGATGCCCTAGGTACTTTGATGAAGGGGAAGAAAAAATAGTAGAAAGGTTTTGTGTCAAGTGTTAGGGAAATCTGATGTTCACTTTTATCTCCTTAAATATTTTGTTTAAAAGTGTACTGTCTTCAACAGTTACACTGTACCTTTTTAAATTTCAGAATCTCGCTTTTATTTTAAACACAAATGGATAGACAACAAATAGGAATGTTTTCCACTTACGGAAACTGAATCTTTATTTTTTATTTAATTGCCATTTCCATGTGCCTTTGTGTGTTGCTTCTAGCCAGCTGCTAGAAAGCTGAAGTGTTGCCAAAGAGCGTATTTTTGCATTATTTCTGGCCCGCACAGATTTAGGAAATACCAGCAGTTGCACTAAGTCTGTTCTCATGAGAGAGCTAGCACAAGTTTGCAAATCAAAGAGCTTATAATAAGCATCTAAACATTTGTTTGTTTATTCAAACTGCTAAAACTTTGGAGATCTATTCATCACAAGAGCTGGGTCACATACTGTTAAATTTGAATTTCCTCCTCATTTCTAATGGAAGGCTGGGACGACTTGTGCGCGTCTCGGAAAAAGCAGCTGAAGGTTGCACTGTAGCTGCCTGTGCTGTGTCCGAAGGGGAACGATTTCAGCTCTCTCTCCTTAAAAGCATCCCTGTGGCTTAGGTGAAAATCTCCAACTACGTTTAACAAATGTATTTGTAGCTGTTGTGATACTGCTTAAGTGTAAGGTCTTACAAATCACAGTCCTTCCCTGAAAGCCCCGGTCCTTCAGTAAGCGTCGAAATGTAAGGTGTAGTGTGGTGGCTGGTACTTGTTTATATCTCAAGTGCTTTCTTGATAATCAGTTGCATATAATTTTTTTTTTAATCTAGGTTTAATCAGCTTCGTTATCCTTCTTGTATCAGAGATTTAAATTATATGTGGGTTTGATCTAAGATTATTGATATTGTTATGTGTTGTGGGATTTTTATTAATTTAATGTAAAACCATTTCTTCATGGTTTGATTTGTAAAATACAAGAATGTAATTGCAAGGTATAAACTTTCACTAAATTATATTACAGAGGTGCTTTAAGAAGAATATGTAAATTATTTAATTTAAATATTTGTTTCATACTTTATCTGGTGAACCCTTTTGTACAGTGAGGAAAGATTTACTTTTGTGGGTAAGGATGACGGGCCTGAAGGCAAAGACAAACTGCTATTTATTCCTGTCTGGTCTTTATTACTGTATCATTTGTGAAGAAGTATCACAAATTCTGCAGCTTATCAGTGTTTGGTATCGATAACTGTAACCAAATTTTAAAATATCTTTTCACATAGAACAGAGATGTCCTTTTGTTTAATTTCAGTAAAAGTAAGTCTAGGCGAGGAAGAGCTGTAAACCCAAGATCAAGTTCATATTTTTACTGTTTTAACGCAAATTCTCCAATATGAAAGATAGTTTCCAGAGCTAAGTTCATCTTTGCTTCACAGCATGGTAGTTCATTTTCCTTCTAAGTCTGAAAAGAGAGCTCAAGAGAGCTAGACGCTGTTAGTACTCCGTTTTCGGAGGCACTTACTAGAAATAACACTGCGTATTCAGGATGATTTCCTGCTACCTGCACTGAGGTGATCTGCAGTTTTTATAGATGTATTTTAAAGGGTGTAATTTGGCAGTGCAAAGCAAAACGTTGAAATGCCATTATTGGCTTTTCTCTAGGAGTGTTCCCTTTAGAAGCAGAGATGAATTCAGAATCTGTTCCTGGGGGTTCTGTGTCCTGTGGTCCAGCTGTGGCAATCTGTGCCGCCAGCAGTCCTGCCCACAAATCCTGTTACAGGAACAAAGTTGCCTTTTAAACCTGTACCTTTTCTTTTGCTGTAGTCAAAAGATAGCATCGAGCACAAGCACAGTATGTTACAAATGTTCCAGCAATGATTTATCCTTACCGCATTTTATTTGTAATGGGTAAAATTTTATTCCGCCAAATCACTGCAACTTGAAACTTTCACTCGATCAGCGTCACCATCCGGGTCTGCTGACTACCACGATACTTGTGTCATATTTGTAACGGCTCCACAGGACTCTCTTGTGGTAACCTTCAGCCACTGCTTTTCTCCATTTCATAGGCAGCAATGAAAAAACCCTGTAGAAGGCACTAACAGAACCGTCCCTTCACACTGCAAATATGTGATACAAATTCATCAGCTGGACCCCTCCTAGGGCAAGGGTGTTGCCTCTCCTTTTCTCTCATGTGCTTACGGGATTTTAAAATCTTTTTCAGCTGCCGAAGCCGTTTAGGTTTGTTTTGGTTTTTTGTCCTTGAACTCCTTTACTGCCTTAGTCGATCTTCTCAGATTCCATTGCAAGGACGTTCTGAAATAGAAAGGACCTCAGTTCCAGATGAGCTGCCTCTGCCCAGGGGACAGGCTGCGTGTGCAAGAGAGTCGTCTGGTTGCAGGCTGGCCCTTAAATAAGGACTGCAAGATCAGGCACAAGGTACTTAAAGGTGTTTTGAAGTATTGAGGTGTACTTGCTCAGGTTGGATGCTGCGGAAAAGGCACCAGCCTTACGATCAGTGCAAGAAGATTCCTGGCATTCTTTACACTTGAAAGGAAAAATAATTGGCAATGTGGGAAGACACTAACTGAAATCCTGGCAACGTGCAAGGTCTGTGTTCTGCTCCTGCTGCGCAGGAGTGCAGAATAGTCATCCAAAATCACAGAATCACAGAATGTTGGGGGTTGGCAGGGACCTCTGTGGGTCACCCAGCCCAACCCCCTGCCCAAGCAGGGTCACCCAGAGCAGGCTGCACAGCACCGCGTCCAGGCGGGCTTGTGGATTCTCCTTCTCTGGAGATATTCAACCTCTCTGGGCAGCCTGTTCCAGTGCTTTGTCACCCTCAGAGGGAAGAAGTTCTTCCTCATGTCCAGCTGGAGCTTCCTCTGCTTCAGTTTGTGCCCATTGCCCCTTGTCCTGTCACTGGGCACCACTGAAAAGAGTCTGGCCCTGTCCTCTTGACACCAAAATCTGTCTGTGGTGTGCAACGAGAACCGTGAGAAGGTTCGCACAGCTTCTGGTGGGTGACCCGTACGCCGCTAGCCTGGCAGAGAGCTGCTCAGCTCCGCGCCTCGCTCCCTTCGGATGCTCCCGGTGCGGTTTGCCGGGTGGCAGCGCGGGGTTGCCTTGGTGGGGACCCGCAGCGTCCGGCCGTAGGGGCTGCCCGGCAGGACGCTGCTGCTGCCGGGCCTCCGCTGCGGGGTCAGGCTTGGGATGGAACCCCGCGTCCTCCTCCCCCGGGAAACGCACCCGGCGGGCCAGGTGGATCTGTGAAGCCACCGCTCTGTAGCCACAAACGCTTTCCTCTGGTTTCAGAAGCGGAAGAATATCGATGGCTTCCGTTATTTCTTTAGTCATAACAAATCTAATCAACGTTTCGGTATTACGGATTCTAACGAGCAGCCCTCTTAACTGTTTGACAGAGTCAGTTTTACCAGCTTCTCCTTGCATGATCAGCTGCATTTCGTGTTGCTCCTGCCATTTCACAGCTTTTACGAACAACCGCTGGGAATTTTCTTTAGGAATGTAGCACAACAGTTTAATTGCATCGTGATGTTAAAACCCTTTATCGTGTCTTTAATTGTCTGATCTGATAGGACACAAAAAGCACATTTTGGGTGACGTTGCCAAACCCTAATCACTGGAGCTAACAAGTGTTTAATTAAATCAAGATATCAGTATTAAAGAGGGGAAAAAAACCCCACGAGATGGTTGTTTCCAGTCACCTAGGTTTTTAGGAGGTTTTGGGTACGTTTTATTGCAGTAAATACAGAACTTAAGAAAGAACGGACATTTCTTGCTGGGAGTAGTCAAACCTAGTTCTCATGGAATGCTTGTTTCCCAGTAAAATACCCCTAACTCCAGCCAAGTTCCCAAGTTTCCTTCTGTCAGAACAATGCAAATGACTTTTTCAGGAAAGAATGGAAGCCCTGGTCTCACAGGGATTTATAGGAAAGACAAAGTCTCTTGCACTCGTGAATGTAAAAATTACATACGGCTAAATACGATGATGCGTTCTCAAATGTTACCAGCCTACTGATCTAGAATGAAAAAACTTGAACTAAACATTTTTCTTCTTTTTTACACTGTGTTTTTTTTGTCTCCTTTAAAAATAAGAGGTTGAATTCGTAGTGTTTCTATAGAGACTGGTAGCAACTGATGTGCTTTTTAAAAAAAAAAAAGTCCTCAGCCTTAAAGACTGAATGTAAACACAGTTAATCTGAAATACGGTTTTGCCTTAATGGTTTTAAAGAAATAAAGCATTTTTAAACGTGAATTTAATTACTTGTGCTGGTCTTTTATTTCCAGGAAAGTAATTCACTGTAGTGTCACAGTTTTCAGTCGAACGTACTCGTTACCCTCTGCTGGCTGCCTCTTGTGTGATTTCTCCAGAGCAGCTGCCAAGCCTTCCCCGCGTCCCTCATTCAGTGGCCGTGCACGCACGAGTAACTTGGATGTACACGGGAGCAGCTCTGCTCTGCGCTCTTGCACACCCACTGCCAATCTCGGCGGAGAGCTTGTGTCAATGTTTGCAGAATCGGGCGCTGGGGCCGCGGGGTGCTGGAGCCCCGGGGATGGTGACTCCCTCTGCTCCTTCCGCGGCAGGACCCGCAGCACCAACGTGTGTTTCCTGCCGCTCTGCTGAAACCAAGAACCTGAATGACTTTGCCTTAACCTGATTTGCCTTAATTTGGTGTACAGGGCCCTGCTTCAGAAAACACTTAGCTGCTTAACTTTATGCTGGGAGTACGCAGGCTGGTTTGCAGTAAGGAGCAAGAGTGGGTAAGCAACTGGTGCCCAGATTTTTTTGGGTTAGCTTCAAGAATCTGTTAACAAATTGTTTTAAGTATGTTTACTGCGTAGTAAGATGTGTGTATTGCAAGGGCCTTTTAAAGGTGGAATGATGCTTGAAGCACCTTCAAAGTGCTCATGCTTACAGGTTAACTGTCAGACGCACCTTTTAAATTAGGAATACACACATACATTGCATATGTATTTTTATATATATGTATCTCATCACTTTGCTGACCCAGCAGCCTGCTGTGTCCTTCCGTTCTCATTGCCTGCATGACCGGCTTGAGAAGTTTGTTGAATTCACCAAGCCTTGAATTCACTTCCACACCAAGTGTAGCATACTAACTAATCTGGTAAGCATGGCTTCAATTAAATCAGTTGGGAAATGTATCACAGATAATTGTTTTCCTTCAAGAATCTGGGGATTTATTAAGTTGTTTAAAGAGTGCTGAAGTGAAAATTACAGTGGAGGGGAAAGCAGCACATTTCTTCATCTGCTGGGCACAGGAGCGTTGAGGGCCTGATTCTGAGCCACAGAAAGCACTCGGGGAACCTGATGAAGCCGAAGTAAAGGCTCTGCACGCCTTGTGAAGCAGGCCTCAGGGCTGGCCGGCTGGGCATTCGCTCCGCGAAATCACGTACGTACCAAAACATCACGATGCAGAGAGCACGATGCTCATGCTCAACAGGAATATGAGAATGTGGCACACCTAAGTTCTAACAGCCGGGCAGGGTTAATAATCCTTTGTCATCCCGAGAAATACCAAACTGCACGTAGGTCAGCCGCCTTGCCCGAGAGCACGGACCAGAGACGACTAAACACATCTGATGGCCGTGGGCTACTGAACCACCCTACTTGCTGGCAGTATGCTTTTCTTCACCGGAAAGGTCTGTGTAACCAGGTAACTGTGAAGCAGAGCTATCCTGAACTTGGCTTTTTCCGTCGTACTCTCGCTAAATAAATGCGCTGTACTGGGCCAAATTACAGATTCCGCTCCCTTTTAATACCGAGTCTACTCTCCCTCCGGTTCAACTTAACAAGTACTTAAAGGCAGGGTCATTTGAGGGCTTTAAATTACTCTCCCATCCTATCAGGATGGCAAAGATAATGATTATCCATAAATGAGTTAACTGCGTTTTTCGTAAAGGGCACAGGGGAGGCTGAAGAGGAGGGAAGATGGCTCGGTGACACTAGATCCTTCCCAGCACACCAGCGGGCGCGTCGCCCGGTCCCGGCCAGGCCTGCCTGTCATACAGCCTGAAGGCACGTTCTCGTGGAGACGGGAACTGCGCTAGCCAGGCTTTTAAAACCTACTTCCAAGCGAAGAGTTAAGAAACAACCTGTTGCGAACATTGTAAAATACAGGAAACCAAATGTTTTAGAAAGACATTTGCTGGCATAAACACAGAATGTGATCTCGGATAACCACGTTGCTTTTTGTCAGCGTGACTATAACAACTGCAATTTTAAGGTGGAAAAGTAGCGTGCTGCTTTTTCTAGCATCTCTCACTCTTCTGTGTAATTCTGGCTTTTAACATGGGGTCTGCCTGTCATTTGTACAGAGCAGACACCCTGCAGCTTTGAAACTCTCGGAGGGAAGGGGCGAGAAGTGTCTAACGTGAAACTGAAATTCAATACTGCCCATTCAAAGTAAGTTTAATATCAATTTATTTGAAAGCATAGTCTCTTGTTACTGCAGAGAGGAATCTGAAATGCTGAGTTCCAACATGCACCTTTTATTTTTGGCAATTAAAGATGTACACATATTTTATGTCTTAAAAGAACCTAGAACTTGGAAAAGGTACTAACAGGTCTATTATTGCTCCTCTAGTAACTGCAAGAAATTCCGGTCCCTACCAGAGGACACCAATGTACTGGGTTCAGTAAAGATGTAAAGAAAGATTTCAGGATGTTAGAAAATCCTAAAGAACTCAAAATAACTGAAATCATGTTGATTTCTTTTAACAGATAGCTGGCTCATTCGTTCTACTGAAGTGACCAAGTTCAGATGCTGGCATAGGACAAATGATAGGGACGGACGAGCTGAGCAAAGGGGAGCGGCTCACCAAGGCATTAACAGGTTCTGAACCAATGACCAAGAAAAGCTTGAGTAAATAACATGATGTGGTGATTAGGGAGCATTCTAGACACGTCCTTAAGGTGTGTGACTAAGTGGTTTTATATAAACGCCACCTAAATATTCCTGGTAATTAAGACAAACTAACACAGGTAATTGTGAAACTAATTTTTGAGCTAAACAAACTACTGTTACCCTAACAATTTTTTACCCTTTTTTGACCAAAACTATGTTTCGGAAATCCCTATTCTAGCTGCAGTTCAGGAAAGAATTAAGCTTATTAACTGAACTTTCCTATTTCTGTATTAATGAATGTGAAAGTGAAAAGGAAGTCATCTTTCCTTGTAAAGCATAAACTAGACGTATTGAGGGTCCTGAACCTCTCCTATTGCTGTTCTGTCATGGACTGGAAGATGGAGTGGAAAGTGACTGCAAATGCAAGTGACTTGTAAGTATACATTTTTTTTATTATATTGGTATTTTATTATAAGAGCACCTACCTTCAGCAGTCTTAATGCTGTGATAGTATTGAGATTATAATCTTGAAGAATCTACATATTTCTATGGGTATCGCTGACATTTTCTCATTACAGTTTTATTTTAGACTTAAAGCTTTGAATTCCTTGCCTACTGTAATCTTACCAGGACAGCACTGTCAGGTTAACAACTGGTGTATGCTGACTTTCTTGGATATATACTAAATTAAACCAGGTAAGTCTGTCTCAGATTCTCGTACCACTGTAGGAGTGTCAAGAACAACACAAAACATTAAAATAACAGAAATGAAAATTTGGACATGGTTCCTACGCTTTATGCTGTTTAGTTTTTTACCACCTGCGTTTTACGTGGTGACAACATGCTCGTCTGCCTGCCTTTCTGGCGTTTCAACACCTTAAGGCCATACTGCTGGCACTGCAATCGCTGCGTGATGACGTCTGAAGCCAAGCCAGTTGTAAGGACATGTGTTGCTGCGTTCCGTAGCAGCGAGCTGATGAAGGTCACTTCTTTTAAAGGAGCAACATGGTAAGTGTCCAAAAGGAGAGAGGAGAAACCCCAGCCAAAGGACTGTCTCTCTCGGTCCTTCAGTATTTACCTTCTTGTATCTGTTTTTTTACAGGGGATGCATTTTTGTTGGGGTTTCCTTTTATCCATATCTTCTCGTATTTCCAAAGGAAAGGCCTCTAGGTTTTCATTCACACAGGGGAGACAGAACCTTTTGGAGTAGAACAGACTACATTCCTGTAAAGAAAATAACATTATTAGCAGGATACACAAAGTGGAACTGCTTAAGTTCCAGTCTCATTAAACCACATTTATATTTAGAATTCTTCTAAATTAAGTTCTTCTTCTAGGTTGAAATATTCCAGTAATTCTGCTTCTTCCTATTCAATAATTCTAACATTTGGTTGGAGCTAACTGGGTGAAAAATAAAAGATGGGTCTGTAACAATCGCTAACCAAATCAACTACCATGTTGCTTCTTACAAAGAAGTGACCTTCATCAGCTCACTGCTGAGAGAACAGTAACACATCTCCTTACAACTGGCTTGCCTTCAAGCATCATTCATGGTTCTCCTGGCATGCTCACTAAATTCCAAACAGGATTTAATGGCTAAGCTGGAGCTGGTGTTGCTGATGGATTATTCTTGGAGAGTTAAACGTGAATAAAGGCATCAATATGGACAGATCAGGACATCTGTCTGGGTGTAATGGATTCCATGGGTTTTACCTAAACAGCAAAGTTTTCCTCTAAAGCTAAATCTTCATTTAGCTTATGAAGATTTCTCCCTCCTGGGAGGATCTTCCAAGTTCCTGCACTGGTGTGTGAGACTTGAAGTCTCAGAAAGCTCTTCCTCACCCATCTCCACAAAAAAGGCCCAAAGGCTAACACAGGCCAGGGGCTGTAGGCTCTGTCACACACTTTAGCTGCATCTTTTTCCACAACTCCCCCAAAAAACCTACTCTTCTTTCTATTAATCTGTGTGCTTGTATTGCCCTAGACGAATACTAAAAAGTATAAATATTATATCAGTATCATAGACGTGTCCAATAACCAGAATAGCTAAATGAATTTAATTCAGCTGAGACAATTCAACTGAGATTTCATCCATTAACCACCTTTACCTTGAATAAATGTTCTCGCTGATTAAAAACTGAAAACATACATGTTACTAAAACTTCAGGTGATGTTTCTTCTCTGAAATCTTGATGGCAAAGTATAAACGCTGTTGTGCACAAGGTATTTTCCCTGCCCTTGAAACGGAATGACACTGTGATCTGACATGTTTCGTTCACATCTGATTTGGTTAGCAAGTGTTACAGACTCAGTACTTATTTTTCACCTAGTTAGCGCTAACCAGATGTTAGTTATTGACTAGGAAGAAGCAAAACTGATGGAGTATTTACTCTCTTCGCAGTACAGAGACTGGACAACTGGAAGAGAAGCTTATTAATGTATTATTCCTTTGCCCTGCAGCGAGACTGAAGTCCATGATTCTCCTAGCGTGCTGATCACTAAATTCCAAACAGGATTTAATGGGTAAGCTGGAGCTGGTGTTGCTGATGGATTATTCTTGGGGATTTAAGCATGAATAAAGACATCAGTTCAGATGGATCAGGACATCTTCTGGGGAGTAATGGATTCCATGCGTTTTACCTAAATAGCAAAGTTTTCCTCTTGCCACGGCCATTCATGGCTGGCCTTTCTCTGCGGGCTCGGCTTGGATATCTCTCTGTTGCTATTCTTGCTTTTGTTTCCCGTGTCACTATCTGGACTTCAGCAGATGATTATATCAAACTCACAATCAGCCTGCTTCTGTGTGACTTTCAAGCCTGAGGAACAACTTCTCCTCATCTATTGTCCTCTCCTGCACTGACTGCCAGGCGCCTTCATATTCAGAGCTAGTGTGAGGCCCTGGTCTCTGAAAAACCCTGAAACTGGTTTTCAGTTGCACAACCTCCGGAGCCTATTGTCTTTTGTCTCTTGGTATCCTTAATACTTTAAGCTGCCAATTAAAAAGGGAAGATTAGAGTTTAAGCTGGCCCTGCTATTCTTGTTTGTATTGCAAAATGGCACAAAGCTCCCCGCGCCTCCAGGTTAAGTTCATGGCTCCACAGCGATGGACGCTGCACCACAGGCTGCTACGGGCAATGGCGAAGGAGGGCAGAGGCGTCTCCCCCACTCTGCAGACAGCCAACTCCGATGGTAAGACGCAGCTCCTCCCAGATACACAGGTCCTCCATTTGCATTCTTTTAGCTGAAATGAGTTGCCAACTTTTGCTGGTTACGGCTGATGGGACTTAACGCAAACCACAAACATGAACCACCAACCACTGCGCCTCTGGGCGCTGGGTCCACGTACCCCTAGTGCTCCTCCCTCAGTCGTGGGATTATTCAGCCTAGCTGTTGCTTTAAAGCCCTACGAATTACCCTTACTAGGTATAGTCAAGCCTTTTGACCATTATCCTGATAGGGTTCTGGGTTTAATCGTATAATTCTTTAATACGTTTTACCCCTTCCATGACCAAGGCAGGAGGGGGCCGTTTCAATTTCAAACTTAATAGTCAAGATCAGGCAAAACTGAGCTGCTAAAGCATACTGCCTGAGTTTATTTCTGATTTCACGTGGATCATGTCTGAAAGTAATATATACAGGGGTATTATCTTTACCACGCTTGTAAAGGAAACTCTATGTAAAGCAAAGGTTCTGCCTAACCACGTCCAGGATTGACCTCACATGACTGGAAGTTGAGTGGGAAGTAGCTGTAGTGTTACCTTTATCACTCAATACCTACAATCATGTCCAGGGTCAGTGCTTAGTCAGCTTCTGCTGTGGTGAGCAACAAGGGATGAAACTTGTTCCCTTTCTTCATCTCCAAAAGCCACCTCTTTTCTTTTCCTATGTTTAGTAAGTGTCGTAATAAAAAAGAAGTAACTGTTTTAAATTACTTACACGGTCAGATTATGTAACTTCCTCTCCCCTTTTTTGAAAGGCAAACAGGGAGCAGGGCCCTCGACCTCTGTAAGGACTTTTCAAAGCATTCTTATTATCTTCCTTTTTGTGGAGTTTTGGCATGTTTTAAGACGTTACAGATAATCATCAGAATTATTTCTGGTTGGACCAGAAATAATGGCACTTACCAATATAGCGTGCTAAAGGCTGGCTCAGTAGGGTGACGTGCACTGCAAGCTGACCGGAGTAAAGCAACTGACTGAGACTTCAGAGAATATTTCAAGAAGTGAGTTTATCAGCATTATACAGAACAGTTGCAAAGCCTTGACTTTCCTTGGCAGAGCCACTATAAGGACATACACTTCAGCTAACCATGGGTCATCTCATGAAAAGCCTAAAATCTGGTATGTGTCTAAGCCTCCTCAGATACAAAAGCTAGCAAATTAAATCCAATCCCTTTGCAAAATCTAAGGTCAGAAAAGTCTGCCACAGGCTAGTCCAGTGCTATTTTGAATGAACAGAGAACTGAAAGCAACCTGTCACTGAAAATTCTCCATCAAATTGGCCCAGCTTCTTTGCCAAAGAGGCCCAAGAAAGCATGGTTTTCTTCAGCTTCAGTTCTTATAACATTATGGGAACACTCCGTGTAGGGCTGAGTCGATCTACTTGGGTCAAGCAGAAGCAGGAACCAAAACCAGTCCACAGAGATATTATCCTAACTTCGAGTCTCTCTACTGCCTTGGATAAGATTTTACTTCTCTGGACTTTTAATTTGCACTACATGAAAGAGGAATAATATGTGTTTACCTACTGTGTGGTGTGGGTGTCTAAAGCACTGATTATCACTTCTGCAGATCTCTTTCAATGTTACCTAAGTGGTATTGCTAAATACATTTTGAAACCATAGTCATATGTGTGATTCACTATCTGGGCTGGCCAGTTTGGTAAGAAATTTATTCTCAATTATTTACAATCAAAGTTTTGCTCTGAGTGATACCATCAGGGGACTCAGATAACAACAAGTAAATGATTGACATATTTCTACAATAGCCAAAAGAGGCAGGAATGTCAAAAAGATTAGAAGAGGCTTCTGTTAGCTCACTGCTAATATCTTCTTACATTGTTATGCCCTAGATTAACTGAAACAGTTATTAAATCTTCCAAAAGGAAAAGCCCCACCTTCATTGAGAAACACACACTGTGTGGAAAGACACTGAGAGGCTGAAACTGCATTTCTGACAGATTTAACTGCTAGACTTGGAAATATCTGCTAAATCCTTCATAAATTCAAGACACTTCATTTGGGAATGAAAATATCTAAATGTGCTCAAGTTTGCCCAAAACATGTATGAATTGCTAAACCTCTGCTGTTAAAAAGGAGGGATGAACCTGCCGTGTCAGGGCAGACATCGAGCTCCTAAACTCAAGCTATCTGACTACCGGCTGCACTTGCCTCTTCCTCTGGCTGTGCGTGGGGGTGAGTCAACTAGTAGCCAAGACAGGGACACTGGTCACTGGGAAGATCTTGCTCACGTGGGAGCTTTGCCTCCACACAACTGTCTTGAGCTACCTGGCTCTGGAAACTTGAGGCCAGCTAGCAAAGCTGTAACCAGAGAGCGCTGGCACTTCATCTGACTGCCAGGGAGTTCTCAGGTAGTCCGAACAAGAAGAAACCAAAAAAATCTCCGTTGCAGTCTCTCTAGTCTGACCTTTTGGTGATTTTCATTCATTTAAATGATAGAAGAGCCTTCAGAAATAGGACACAAACCTAATAAGGAGAAAGGTGCTATTGCACACTCCCCTTAGGACAGTGGCCCAAAGCAATCCATCCTTGGGGCTAACTCCCTACAAGTCAGAATAGCAGCTAGCCTTGTCCAAGCGAGCCAGTTTCCTTTTGGCTACGTCCGTCCAACCCTCCAAATTTTGTCCTTTTAATTTGACCCTTTGTTTTGCTCAACAGAATTTCTTCCAAGTCCCCACACAGAAACTATCTGGCATTGGCATATGAGATGTCTCCGTTGCCCAGATTATCTCACCCCATGCTCTGAGGAGGCCAGAGGTGTTACTTTGTCCCTCCAGAACTACAACTGGCCACCAAACATCATGAGAAGAAAAGTCTACATCTTCACAAAGTCTTTAGCAGGTCTGTTTGTTCCTTTTAAAACTCCCACTAGTAGCTGCTTCCAGTAAGGATCATGTCACTGGAGCTGACCCTAACCACTTCAGAATGGGCTGAAAAGGCTGAATTTGAAAACTGCTAAAGATGACAGGAGACCAAGGTGTGCTCTCACACACGCTATTAGCTGCACTCCAGATTTAAGCACATCATTCTAGGACAGCAAACAACCACTTTGAAAGAGGAGGCTGGGATCTGGCTGCTATTAGGGCAACAGTGTCTGGTGTAACAAATACTTGCCGTTGTCCGTGTAAACAATCAGGTGATGTCTCCTCACAGGCTGAGTCATGCATGAGTCCTGACTACTGCATCAGACCTGAGTCTCTTTCAACCACGGAAATAGCTTGCCAAGGGAAAGGAGCGGAACATAAGTTTTCTTAGTTCATTGTACTGCCTCAAAGAAGCACAGTACAGCCTCCGGACACTGATAACTGCGTAGTAACTTGTCTTCATTTTTGCTTTGAACTCACAGCTAACAAAGGGACCAGTTCTGCACCGAGGAGAAGGAATTAAGACAACTGTAATTTTACACCACCTTTCTGGACCGCAGTCAGATTTCATAGCTTCAGGTTGCCTACCAGCTGCTGCTCCAATTCAGTCTTCTTCAGAGAGCTATCACAGCATTGCACAACTCCCCTCCCTGCTCACTTTCTACGTTAGCTATTGCAAATGGGGCGGCAGCCCTGTGCTGTGGATGCAAACCTAACAATCCGTGGATGTTTATATCCCCTTTAGCGAAGAAAAACCTACCGTTGGTATAGTACGATCTACTGAACCCTAAAGGTCTTGAAGTGCTATGTGATCCCCCTTGCACTTTCATGTGCTGAGAAAGTGGGAAACGGCACTCGTTGTGTTTGTGAGGCTGGACTGTGCTCATCTGTAAACTGAACACTTGAAGACGCTGATCATTTTCATTTAATACAAAGAGCTTTATCTGGGGAAATCAACAAGAATATACAATCAGCTTGCCTTAAAAATAGGCCGTTTGGGGTTTTGCTGTTCGGTCTTTAACGGGTCGCCAGGACTGGAACAAAAAGAAATGACTGAAGAAGCTTGTTTTACTTGTTACTGTACCAACGCACACTGATCTGCTACACAAACTGCAATGAGACCCAAGGATGAGGAATTTGTCCTTGTCAGGGGTGAAAGGATCCTTCATGACATAGCTTTCTTCCAAAATCCTGTAAGAGAATAAGTCCAGGTGTTTAAGGGTAGATTTCACAGTAGGGGAGAGTTGAAATGGGGAAACTGTGGAGGCTGAAAAGGTATCAGCCCTTTCGACTTGATTTCTTCGGCCCGGTGTTGTACACGAGGCAATGCAGCAGCTATACAGTGCTCTTCGGCTGGACATGAGCCGGCAATGTGCGCTGGCAGCCCAGAGGGCCAACCGTGTCCTGGGCTGCATCAGGAGAAGCGTGGCCAGCAGGTTGAGAGAGGTGATTCTGCCCCTCTACTCTGCTCTGGTGAGACCCCGCCTGGAGTACTGCGTTCAGCTCTGGAGCCCTCAGCACAAGAAGGACATGGAACTGTTGGAGCGGGTCCAAAGGAGGGCTACAAAAATGATCCGAGGGCTGGAGCACCTCTCCTATGAGGACAGGCTGAGAGAGTTGGGCTTGTTCAGCCTGGAGAAGAGAAGGCCCCGGGGAGACCTGATTGCAGCCTTTCAGTACTTAAAGGGAGCCTATAGGAAAGATGGGGACAATCTTTTTAGTAGAGACAACAGTGACAGGAC